CTGCTCCATAAAGCAGCCCCTTGGCCGTGACCCCGGCTCACAGCAGCCTCCTGCAGCCCAGCATGGCGAAGGCAGCCGCGGGGCTCTGCGCCCTCTTCCTCCTCGCTGCGCTGTGCTGCCAGAGCCGGGCGCAGAGTGAGCTCTCTGGGGACATGGGGTTGCTTTATGCATGCGGTACAGGGGGGTCCCCCTAAAGAGCTGCTGTAAGGATGGGGGGGATGAGATGGAAAGGGGGGTGTCTGAGCTAAGCTGAGCTTGTGCTGTGTCCCCAGGAGCCCCAGCCGTGCCGGACAAGTGCTGCTTCAACTTCCAGATGAGAAGGATCAAGAGAGACAACATCGTCGCCTGCTACCCCACCAGCCCCGAGTGCCCGCACCAGGCTGTGATGTGAGTACCCTAAACCCAGCCCAGGGGGTGAAGCCCCTTAGACCTCCTCCCCACCACCTTACTTTGGCGGGTTCAGTCCTGATCCTCTGTACCTCTGACTCAGCACCGGGGTCCCTCTACTGCCACCCTGCTAACCCCATCTTCTCTCTGCCCCAGCTTCAGGGTGAGGAGCGGGAAGGAGATCTGCACCCAGGCGAGCAGGGCCTGGGTGAAGAAGTACCAGCAGAGCTTCCCAGTCAGCTCCTTCTCCATTCCCAGCTAGTGGGGCAGCCGGAGGCAGCACGAGGAGTCTCCTCCACGGGGGACAGGTCACTGCGAAGGTCACCCCTTAGCAGAGGTGGCTGCGGGGACAAAACGTTTGGGTATAGCAGCTCATCGGGGACATCCTTCCTATCATGTTGTGACAACCATCACCACCTTCCCAAAGGCAAAGGGCAGCGTCCCACTGGGATGGGGTGTGCTGACCCTGTGGGGCGCTGGGGTGCAGCCCCGCTTCCAGCTCCATGCTCTCAGCCCTGCTTGGCACGCAGGCAGCTGCCTGTACCTCTCACAGGCAGCAGCAGCAGCATGTCAAGGCTGTGTTCACTGGCCTGGCAGCAGCAGAGGGGTTAAGGGGGAGCAGCTCCATGGTTATATTTTGTACAACACACAGAAGAGAATTAAATGTGGTCTCATGCATGCAAACATCTGGCTGTGCAAGTGTCTTGGGAACGGGCAGATCCTGCTGCTGATTTTCCTACCTGGTATTAAGCTGTATCTGTAAGTGCTGCGGTCAGTAAGGAGCTGGGAAGAGCCAAAGTCCCGCCTATGCCTCAGGTGCATGGACCACATCATGTCCATGTGGGCTTTGGGGAAGCCACTAGTGAGAGGGGCAAGAGACAGGCACAGCCCATGCTCCTTGTCAGGCACCCCAATGAGCACAGACCCCCCCAAACTCTACCAGGGATCCCTGGCTGGTCCCCAGTGACAGCTCCTGGGGATGCCACGAGGAGATGTGATGGGCACTGACACTGCGAGGGGTGCCATGACAAGCACGACCACCACGATGGGCAGCCAGCAATGGGTCTCGGGGCAAGCTGGGCCAAAGCCCAGCCATTGCCAAGCCATTCACCCCAGTGCAGGACTACAGCAGAGTCAACACAGCCAAGCTGACAAGGGCTGGTTTTGAAACACTAACTCACACGGGGCTTTGGCAGACGCGAGCATCATCCTGTGTGGTTTAACCAACCCCAAAATAGGCTGCCAGCCCCCCCGCTGCTGCTGCTCCCCACGCTTTCCAGCAGCCCTCAGGTACCGCAGGGGCTGGAGGCGCTGGGACAAGGAATTTCCCTTCACTGGTTGCCCTTTATCAGTATCTCGGGGCGGTTCTTTCCCCGGGGAGAGTCCAGAGCTGTCACGGAAAGCCAGGCCGGGGGGTATATCACATGGAAGTGCAGACAGCAGAGGCAGGTAGCTCTTGGTGGCCCTGAGTCAGCAAGAGCTGCTGCCTTGTTGGAGCTGACCGAGCCCTGGTTTGAATATGAAGGTCTTCTCCTTGGCCCTGCTCACCGTGCTGCTGGCAGCTCTCTGGACTGGAAGCCAGGGTGTATCCTGTAAGTACTGACGCTGAGCCATTCCCCATGGCTGCCCCAGCACCATTCCTGGCTCCTCCACTGATGTGGCTCTGGGACTTGGGGAGGGGGATGAAAGCTTCAGCTTCTGCTTCTGCCACGGGTCTGGGGGGCTGAGGAGCATCACCAGCGGCCCAAGCATGGGGGTTTCCTGGTCTTGTTCAAAATGAGCAAAAATAGGCTTGGGGATGGCTTCAGACCTGGTGCCCAGACTGGAGAGCTCAGTAATAAGCCCTCCACGGGCAGGAAAATAGGGGGCTCCTACCCTGGGGCAAAGCAACACTGCCAGGGGTGTGAGAGAGGACCCTTTGTAGCAGAAGGGAGCACAGGAGTCCCAGGGGGACCCACACACACCTCATGCCAGGGGTGGGAGACCATCAACCCCTCTTGCCTCCTCTCAGTCCGCAGCCCCTATAGTGCTTGCTGCTACAAGGAGATGTTCATCCGGCAGAAAATCCCTGCTCTCCTCATCAAGAGCTACCAGGAGACGCCTTCCCACTGCTCCCGCAGGGCCGTGCGGTGAGTATCCCAACCCAGCCTTCCTCCCTGGCACCCCGCTCCTCACCCTCACTCACCCACCTTCCCCACCGGTTGTTCTGCCTTTGGGGATGCCCCAAGACAGGCCACCCCCAAAGGGTGCCATAGTCGGGGTACTGCTCTGGCTCTGCACACGCACCTCCCTCCTCACTGCTTTGTCCCAAATCGCCCCAAAATTCCCCATTTCAGCTGTCAGCAGGGAAAGCAGGAAGTAATTCAATGCTTCAGACTGCTTAAAGTCAGAACTTTGGTGGGATGTGGGGGAAAGGATGCTGCAGGGAACCCCAGGGCACGGCTGGACCCTGCACTCCCCCAGCTAATGCAGCCCCTCTCTCCCTGCAGCGTGGAGCTGCTGAAGGGGAAGAAGTTCTGTGTGGACCCAAAGGAGGGCTGGTTCCAGCAGTACCAGCGGCAGAAGGAGTCGTCCCACACCTCCACGTGAAGCTGCCTTCCCCATAAGCTCTATTTATTTGCATCCCATAGTTATCTGTATGTTCTTATTAAGTTATGGAGCCGGCTCTGCTCCCTTCCCTGCTGTCACCCACTCCACACTACTGCACAGTGCTCAACAGGTTTAATAAAACATCTCATGCAGATCCGCTGGAGTAAGACTGGGTAAATCCTGTGGGAGAAACGGGTCACATCAGCTCTTGTTGTCTCCACAGGGACCCAGGAATAGCCCAGGAGCCCTGCAAGGGCAGGGAAACCCAAAGGGCCACAGCCCATCCCCTCCAAGATGAAGCAGCCCCTGCCCAGACGAGGTTCACTAAGGCTCAGTGCTGGGTGCTGCACTTGGGTCACAACAACCCCCTGCACCACTGCAGGCTTGGGGAAGAGGGTCTGGGAAGCCTCCTGGTGGAAATGACTTGGGGTGGTGGTCAAAAGCCAGCTAAAGATGAGCCAGGACCGTGCCCAGGCAGCCAAGAAGGCCAAGGGCATCCTGGCTTGTGTCAGCACTAGCATGGCCAGCGCGGCCAGCGCAGCGATCATCCCCCTGCACTGGTGCATCCTGTGCCAGTGGGTCCAGCTCCTGGGCTGGCTGCAAGGGGGGCACTGCGAGGGGCAGGCGGATGATGAGCACAGCGAGCCCGTGCCCCGCTGCCTCCCTCCATCCCCGGATCACAGCCCTGCGCCCGTCCCCGCATTCCAGATGCCACTTGTGGAACCCGCCTGCGGTGCCGTGTCACAAACGCCTCGTGCTGGGGGGATGCTCCACCTCTAGCCCCAGATCAGGAGGGCCTTTGAGCAAACCAGCATCCCCAAACACGGCCGGCTCCTGGGCTGCAGCCACTTGCTGTCATGAAGCACAAGCCGCGGCGCCGCAAGGTGCAGTGCCCAGCAGCACTGCCGGAGCCCTCCTGTGAGCCTCCCCAGTGCAAGAGGCAGCGGGATGTGTGCACACCCCCCCCCTGGGAACCTGCCGGATGTGATCATGGATGGTGCCCATCTGTGCAAGCACTATAGGAAGGTGGTCCGGTATCTCCCCTATCCCGCTCCCAGCCTTACCCCCATCAGCACCCTGTCCCAGTGCTGGGGGTGACGTGCTGCTGTCCCCCCGCAGTGTGTGGGTTCTGCCAGCGGGCAGACCACAACCCCGAAGTGTTCGGGCAGCTGTGCCATCAGGATGGGCTCTGCATCCATGAGAACTGCCTGGTGAGTGACTGGTCCTGGCACTCGCCGGTCCCCAGCCCCGCACTGCCCCCGGCACATCCCCTCTTTCCCCCTCTTGCAGTACCACGCCACCAGGCTGAACCAGAGAGGGACTGATGAGGAAGGCTTCTATGGCTTCCTCTTCCCTGACATCCCGGGGGAGCTGTAGCGGGTGGGACCGAAGG